AGCATTATTATTATATTTCCTTGTTCATGATAATTGTCTTTATTCATGCTATAATTGTGTTATCCGGAAATCGTAATACATGTGTGAATAACAGACACCGACATGCCCCTAGGGAGCCTCTAGTTGACTAGCTCGTTGATCAACAGATAGTCATGGTTTCCTGACTATGGACACTGGATGTCATTGATAACGAGATCACATCATTGGGAGAATGCTGTGATGGACAAGACCCAATCCTAAACATAGCACAAGATCGTATAGTTCGTTTGCTAGAGTTTTCCAATGTCAAGTATCTTTTCCTTAGACCATGAGATCGTGTAACTCCCGGATACCGTAGGAGTGCTTTGGGTATGCCAAACGTCACAACATAACTGTGTGACTATAAAGGTAGACTACGGGTATCTCCGAAAGTGTCTATTGGGTGACATGGATCAAGACTGGGATTTGTCACTCCGTATGACGGAGAGGTATCACTGGGCCCACTCGGTAATGCATCATCATAATGAGCTCAGAGTGACCAAGTGTCTGGTCACGGGATCATGCATTACGGTACGAGTAAAGTGACTTGCCGGTAACGAGATTGAACGAGGTATTGGGATACCGACGATCGAATCTCGGGCAAGTAACATATCGATAGACAAAGGGAATAGCGTACGGGATTGATTAAATCCTCGACATCGTGGTTCATCCGATGAGATCATCGTGGAGCATGTGGGAGCCAACATGGGTATCCAGATCCCGCTGTTGGTTATTGACCGGAGAGTCGTCTCGGTCATGTCTGCTTGTCTCCCGAACCCGTAGGGTCTACACACTTATGGTTCGGTGACGCTAGGGTTATGAAGATATGTATATGCAGAAACCCGAATGTTGTTCGGAGTCCCGGATGAGATCCCGGACGTCACGAGGAGTTCCGGAATGGTCCAGAGGTAAAGAATTATATATAGGAAGTGCTATTTCGGGCATCGGGACAAGTTTCGGGGTTATCGGTATTGTACCGGGACCACCGGAAGGGTCCCGGGGGTCCACCGGGTGGGGCCACCTGTCCCGGGGGGCCACATGGGCTGTAGGGGGTGCGCCTTGGCCTAGATGGGCCAAGGGCACCAGCCCCTATAGGCCCATGCGCCTAGGGTTTCCACCATGGAAGAGTCCATGTGGTGGAAGGCACCCCTAGGTGCCTTGGGAGGGAGGGAAACCTCCCCTTGGCCGCCGCCCCCCCTAGTAGATGCCATCTACTAGGGCCGGCGCCCCCCCTGGCACCCCTATATATAGTGGGGGGGAGAGGAGGGATTTTATACCAGCCCCTGGCGCCTCCACCTCCCCCCGTTACGTCTCTCCCTCGTAGTCTCGGCGAAGCCCTGCAGCTGTGACGCCCTGCATCCACCACCACGCCGTCGTGCTGCTGGATCTTCATCAACCTCTCCTTCCCCCTTGCTGGATCAAGAAGGAGGAGACGTCTCCCGTGCCGTACGTGTGTTGAACGCGGAGGTGCCGTCCGTTCGGCGCTGGTCATCGGTGATTTGGATCACGTCGAGTACGACTACATCATCACCGTTCTTTTGAACGCTTCCGCTCGCGATCTACAAAGGTATGTAGATGCATCCAATGACTCGTTGCTAGATGAACTCCTAGATGATCTTGGTGAAACGAGTAGGAATTTTTTTGTTTTCTGCAACGTTCCCCAACAAGACGTTCATACAACATGAAGAACCAGTCGGAAAGATCCCCAACTCCTTCCCCACTCGAACCTCGATCCATTCGGGGGCTAATGATGAAGCTATGTACCTAGGGTAGGGTCACGAACCTGTCCTAACTGCCCTACCCAAGGACACCTCTAGAATAAATCACCTTTCAATCGACTTGGAGGTGTTCCACTCGACAGACTCGAAGACATTCAACCAAGAAGCAATTACTCGACCAAAGTCCAACCACTCGACGGCCAGGAGACCTAAAGTCACTCCGCACGCTAACGATCGGTCATTAAGTAGCTTTTATGGTCATCATAGCACTTTATTACTAGCGTTATCAGTAACGCTCTACCTTAATGTACATTGAACCCTTCGTAACGTGGGCTGGCCGGGGTCCTGGCGCACTTTATATAAGCCACCCCCCTCCTCCGAGACAAGGGTTCGCACCTCTGTAACTCATACACACATAATCCAGTCGACTGCCTCCGGGCTCCGAGACGTAGGGCTTTTACTTCTTCCGAGAAGGGCCTGAACTCGTAAACCTTGCGTCCTTACAACCTCTCCATAGCTAAGACCTCGCCTCTCCATACTTACCCCCCTACATCACTGTCAGAGTTAGAACCATGACAGGAACCCCACATGTTATAGACACAAAAAGTGTGGCAAGATTCCCTTAGGCAAGTCAAAGTGTGGCTAACAATTTAAGCAACTCAACTAAGGCAAGTGTGGCAAAAATCATGTGGCAATATATGGCAAAGATAGTCACAATCCAAACAACTATGACAAAGTCCGAACTACGAGAGAGGGCCGGACATTATACTCTAACACTCCAGCTCGCGTCTATGCTCCTCTAGTTATGACATGGGCAACGGCAGAGGGGGTAGGCCGCAACTATTTTTGGCGTTTACTGGGTTTTGAACTCTGAATCTCTTGGTTGTAAGCTGTACGCACCTAACAAGTTGACTCATTAGTCTGAACTGATGAAGAGAGTTGGACAATATATTCCAACACCCTCCTCATGTATAGAATATTGGTAGTTCTTAGATACGGGACCAATGTAGGCCACATTTTTTAATGCCGCGTTGGCAGGGTGTTGAAGCGAAGACCTCTTAGCTCGGATATACCGAGTGAATTGCAAAAAAACCACCACATTTTGGGCTTCATCTGTGGAAAACTACCAGGTCGCTAATCATTTGCAAAAATCACCGTGCAATCAGTAAACCTTTTCCAAAAAGCACTGATCAAGTGAATTAGCCTGTTTAACCACTTTCTGACAAGTGGGGCCGAAATGTAAGGAGCTGATTTGGCAACAAATTGACATATACCTCCTTGGATCTAAAAAAAGCAATCAAGCCCTCCCCCTCCCCCACGGAGGGCATCTCCTTCCTCGCTCCACCCTCGCCGGGAATGATCGTGGCGATGCGCGCCTGTACAAGCTCATAACCGGCGTGTATAGGGGAGCTTATTGCCGGCGGTTGCGGCTAATGGCCGGCGGTGGATCCGGCTTCGGCCAGCGTCCTGGAGAGAGAGAGGGGGAGTTGCATGAGAGACAGGGGAGGAAGGAGAGGGAGAGGGGGCTGCGGTGGTGCCCGGTGAACTGGCGGCGGCGAGCTGCGGGGAAGTCCGGTCGGACGGCGCAAGGCTCGGTGGCGCATGCGCACGGGGATGCAGGGCTCTCCTGCGGGCGTGGACGCTCCACTGCGGCTGCGCGAGCAAGCGTAGAGTGGGGTGTAGGAGTAGGGGAGGAGGCGTCGAAGCGCGTGGAGGTTGGCCCGCATCCACGGCGTCGAGCGACGCTGGGCTTCCCTGGTAGAAGATCGAGGCGCGACCACAGCATCCCGACGGGCGCCGCCGTGGCTTGAAGGCTGAGCTCCCGGCGGCCGCCTCCGCGCAGTCCACGCCGCGGACGCTACATAGGAGCTACGGTTCCCTGGCGGCGACAGTGCGCTGCTGGCCCTCGTGGTTGCGGAGATGGCCACCGGCCGGTGCGTCCACCCGCTGCTACACAGACTCCTCCTCGTCTCCGCGACCGCCCGGTCGGCGGGCGTCTTCTGGCGACGGCGACGGGAGCCAGGCTCTGCCGGGCATGGTCCAGGGGGCTGATTGCTTTTTAAAAAAATCTACTAGGGGTTTGTGTGTAATTATTTTGCCAAGTCAGCTCCTTACAGTCCGGCCTCACATGTCAGAAGGTGATTAAATGGGCTAAATCACCTGTTCAGTGCTTTTTACAAAAGGTTTACTGAATGCGCGGTGTTTTTTGCAAATGATTAGCGACGTGATGGTTTTCCGCAGATGAAGCCCTAAATATGGTTGTTTTTTGCAATTCACTCCTCGGATACCTTATTGAATTCATGCACCGGCCAGTTACTCGGAAATTTCGAAGTATGGAAGAAAGTCAGATCCTATACTCCAACGGATAGCGAACCAGCACGAAATGTGGAAACGGAGTTTTTGAATTCGTGCACCAGCCGGTTACTCGAAGAAGCTCCAAGACCCTCTTTGGCGATGAGTTTTGTAGAAAAGGAGTTTTTGGCCGGTGTAGCAGCTGCCGACGGCTGGAATCAAACCAGCACAAAAATCGGGTAGCGAGACTTTGGCCGGCATAAACAACGCCGTGGAGAACGCGCTCGCGATGATCTCATCTGACAGCCACCTCCCCTGCCGTGGACCGGCCGGCCGCGAGCACGAACGAATCGGAGCTGCTGGACTGGGCTGGACCGTCCAAATGGAAGCTGCTGATCGATTTATTAATCTGCGCCTTGCCTTTATCGCCGGAACGGACGATTCGAGACGCGATCCATCCGCCACCGGCGCGGCGCCATGGACGGACGGACGGACGGAGCTCGGCCACGGGGGAGGGAGAAGGAGAACGGGGCACGCACGTCCGGGACGTGGCGGCACGCTCCGCATGCCGCGGCGAAAAGCGCTCGCTTTGGACAAAGCCATATCGATGGAGCTTGTGCTTTGTCTGTCCATATGGAGTGCAAGCGAAACGCCGGAGTTTCCGTTGGTCGTGTTGGGATCGCAGGGCATGTGCCATCTGCTGCACTGAACCGGTTGGCCCTCTCTGTCCCAACACCTTGCGGCCATGGCGCCCGCGGACCGGCCCGGCCGGCCATTGGCGGCGTGAGCGGACGCTTGTGCGGGTGAACGGCTGAAACGACAGCTCGATCGGCACAAGAACTGGACGATGAATGCCAGAGCAGACCATCAGGGATCATGGAATGCACTCAAGCTTTCAATAACTTAAGAACAAGTATATGTAAGGATTATAGTACCACCGCTCACTCCTGCTGTTTAATGGCCACTCACTCACTAATTTACTTGCATCAACCCTGGGAGGGATCGGGAGGTTCCTACGTGCGTACATCCATCGCCGTCCCGCCGCAATCTCTGAAGCCAGCCAACCAGCGCGGACCAAAGCACGGTGAGCGCCACGGCCGGGACCCTCCCGGCGGCCAGGCCGACGAGGACGACCACGGTCACAGCTACCAAGGGGAACTGGCCTCCCCCTCCCCCTACGCCGTCCGCCCCGGCGATTCCCATCGGCGCACGCGCACCGCCGTTGCCCGTGTCGCGGAGAGGACACGACGAATCCGGCGATTTGGTGGCGGCGTCCGCGCCGTCACCCATGCCGCGGAGAGGGCCCGATGAGTCGCGCGATTTGATGCCGTCAAGCATGCCAAGGCGGAGAGGGCCCGATGAGTCCCGCGATCCGATGGCAGCGGCCTCCGCCTTGGCGTTCGCTTGGCTGCGTCTGCCGCGGCGAGAGTCCGGGGGATCCGTCGCCCCGGCATTGTCGCCGAGCGTGGAGTCCGCTACGCTGACCTCGCTGCGGAAAGAGCTTGACCGGAAAGAACTTGACAGGGAGCCGGACTCCTTGCCAATCTTCCGGCCTCTCTGCAATTTCCTGGGGATCAGCTTCCTCCAAGGCGACCTCTTCCTCGGCTTCGGCTCCCAGACGCACGAATCCTCGCCGGCCTCGCTCCTCTCGTCAATGCCGAGGATGGAGGCGCTGATCCCCCTGCCGGAGTCGGAGAAGCTCGATCCCAGCGGCTCCGGCTCCCCCGCCAGCTCCCGGATCGGCGAGACGTAGCCGCGGCCGTCGTCGATATCCAGCTCCGCGGTGGGCGCCGGGGGCCGGGGCCGCCGGCGAAGCGAGGACGCCCTGACGGATTCCAGCAGGAAGAGCGAGAAGGCGGCGACGGTGACGGCCGCAACCACCTTCCTGCTCCAGATCACGAGGAGGGCGAGGGACGCCACGCCGACGAGCGCGAGGAACCCCAATCCGAGGCCGGCGGCCCCGCCTCCGGGGCGGCGGACGGGCTCCGCCCGCGGAAGGTCGGGCCTTGGCTGGGCCGACGGCGGGCAGACGGCGGCCGGCGGGGGTGGAGGAGAGGGAGGCGGGGGAGAGGGCTCGGAGGAAGGCAAAGGGGGGGCGCCGCGCCTCTTGCGCCTGCCGGAGGAGGGGCCCTGCTTCTTGAGGCGGCCATGGTTCTTGACGAAGAGGTCGGCGAGGGAGGTGGGGAAGCCGGTCTGGACGGGGAGGGGGCCGGCGCGCGCGGGGCGGAGCGCGGAGATGAGGCGGCCGAGGCGGCCGGCGGGGCGGTCCTTGGGCGGGCTGGGCATCAGCGGCGGCCGGCGCCGGCGAGCATGGAAGGGGGCCGACCGGCGCGCCGGGCCTCCGCCTGCCTCCGCGTCCGGGTCCGGCGTTTGGTGGTGCTCTGGGTTGGTGACGGACCTTTTTTTGGGGGGGAGTGGGAATAGAAAGAGGAAGACGGAGGGAGGGAGCGAGTGGGTTCCCAAACATGGGAGGTGCGTTTGTTGGCTTTTCGTCTAAGAATGGGAGGTGCGTTTTGCTGTTCGGCATGTTGTATTTTTGGATGCTTGGCGGTTCTAGATACACTCGTTTCAGCGACAGTGATTTACCTGTCGGAATAAATTCTAGGGTTTTGTTTGATACGCACGTTTATTTGGTAAGCATTTATTGGTTTGCCAAAGAAAACATGATTTTATTTGGCAAGTCAATAAAAATGGGAAGGTTAAGACGGTTTTTAAGAAAACGGATGAAAAAAACCAGAGATAGAATGAAAACGAATAAAAGGGGGAGCTCAAATGTTATAGCAATTCGAGAGTACGTATTAGCTGTTGTCGAATGCTCTGCACGAATCTGAGCGCAAGTGCAAATGCCATCTCATAAAAAAATGTTAGCGCGTGATTAGTGCCTGTCCATATTGATGTGATTGTGTAAATTGGTGTTTATCTAATAAAATTATGCCTATGATTTACCTGTTGAAATAAATTCTAGGGTTTTATTTGATACGCACGCTTATTTGGTAAGCACTTATTGGTTTGCCAAAGAAAACATGATTTATTTTGCAAGTCAATAAAAATGGGAAGGTTAAGACGGTTTTTAAGAAAACCGGTTAAAACATAGATATAATTAATTAAAAAAATAAAAGGGGGAACTCAAATGCTATAAATCTAACGTCAGGTTTATACCAATTCGGAGCGAACGTATTAGTTGTCGTTGAATGCTCTATACGAATCTGAGCACAAGCACGAGTGCCACCTCATAAAAAAATGTTTGCGCCGTGCATTGGCCTGAGAGGACGATCTTGAGTGTCCTTTTTCCTCTATCCTTATCCCTTCACTCTCAAACTCACTCACTTTTTCTCTCGTTTCTTGAGAGGGAGGGAGGGGTAGGGAGGAAGGGAGAGACAAATGTTGGTGGCCGATGAACACTTGCTCGTCGGCGTCACGCGAGGTCCTAGCCAAGATCGATGCACACGGCCGATGGTGGAGCCCAGGAAGGCGAGGAATCGACGGATCTAGCGAGGCCGTCCTCAAACTCGTCGGCGACGCACCGCGAAATGAGTTCTGGCAACGAAAGCGGCAAGGTGGTGTGGTGGGTTACATGCGACCAACCCTCGGTCCTTGCGGCGG